TATTGACAGGAACAATTAATGCTTAACATTTTTATATTTTCACTAATTTTTCATGCCTATATCTGGTAACCTGACAAACTGATTTGAAGACAGCAATATGCAACAGAACAACTTTTGGTGGATTCTTAGCATCTTGTCTAGTAAGACTCTGTATCATCTCTAATGTATTTTAATAATTACTTTTTATTCTCTTTGATGGTTGAACAATCTTCCATTCTTATATCTGGTAATCTGAGCAACTTCGTTGAAGATAACAGTATGTAAGTAATATAACAACCACTGTTATTTCCTATCATTTTGCTTTGAAACCCTGTATCATTTTTAATGTCCTTGCTTTGTTTTGTCTATGTCTGTGATGTTGATATTTTTCTATTGATCTTTTTTTTACTACTTCCTTTAAAATAAAAATTTAAAAAAAGAAATTAAAGGGCCGGGAATATAGCTCAGTGGCATAAGCGCCTGCCTGGCAAGCATGAGGTCATGAGTTTGATTCTCAGTACCAAAAAATAAAAAAAATAAAAAATAAAAGCCAGACATGGTGGCGCATGCCTGTAATCCCAGGACACAGGAGGTTGAGGCTGAAGCAGGGGGTTTATTGTGAGTTCGAGACTAGGTTAGGCTACAAAGTGAACTCGAGGGAAAAAAAAAAACAATTAAAGACCTCTACAATGAAAGTCAGTACTCTGAAAAAGATAACTGAAGAGAACATCAGAAAACAGAAAGATATCCATGTTCCTGGAAAGAAAGAACCAATATAGTCAAAATGGCCAAATGTACAAAATTGATGTACAGATTTAATCCAATTCCAATATAAATTCCAACTGGATTCTTCAGAGAACTGAAGACGACAATCCCAAAATTCATGTGGAACTAGAAGAGACTCAGAAGAGCAAACCAAATTTGGTATCATCACCATTATGTTTAGTGGGTAGAGATTTTATTGAAACTCTACTACCCACAAAAAAAGGAAAAACCAAGAGGACAGTGTAAAGTAGGCTGTTCAAAGAATGATAATAATGCAAAAAGAATTTGGAAAGATACCAGATACTTCTGTCCAGGTTGTAATAGTGCATTGTGCATTGAATGTTTTAAAATATACTATACACAGAAAAATTGCTGAGTAAATTTGATAAAATTGTCACTTTTATATTTCATGATCTATTACAAAATTAAAGAAAAATAGGTAATTTTTGGTCATTCTGTATTTAAATAATTGGACTAATAAGTGGTTAAAATACTTTATGTAATGCCAGGCATGCTAGAATTCAGGATATTTGGGCAGGAGGATCATTTGTGAGTTGGAGGCCAGCCTGGGCTACATAGCAAGCTCAAGGACAACCCAAACTGCCTAGTGAGAGCCTGTCTCAAAAAAGAAATAAATAAATACATAAATACATAAATATGGTCTTCCGGCCGGCTCGCTCCCTGCCTCCTAGGTGCCCAGGAGGGCCCCCAGCGCACGGGGAGCCACGCGGTGGCGAGCACTGGGCTGGCTGCACCGCTCAGTTGAGAATTACCATGACACAGAAAAACAATGACACAATTGGCCCACCATGCACTGGCTGCAGATGCCCACCCACAGACATGTGTGAATCATTCAAACATGGAGAAACCCCTGGGAATACATGCCATGCAACGGGCCACTCTTGCTCCTGCCATTGAGAACCAGAAAGGTCCAGAGTCAGTGGAGAAGCAGCTGCTGAACAAGGACTCAGAGAACATGAGAATGCAGACTAAGCCTGAGGAGTCAGAGGTCCTGTGGACTGGAGTCATTAGAGCCGCTCAGAAGCTGTAAACCAGAAGGACCTTGCACAATACCTGCAGAGACTCCCTGGAAGCCATTCTTCACCTGATAGTACAGGCTGTGGTGGAGCTCCGGAGAAGTCTGCAGTAGGATTCCTGCTGCCTGTGCTGACAGTTGGGGAGAGGACACTAACTGGTTGTGGGGTCCCAATGCGATGGGAGGCTGGAGAGAAACGCTACAAAAAATGGCTTTCGCCCCAGACGGCTACTTGATTTTTGACAACCCTTAGGCTGTAACTACTGGTTAGATACTTCTTGCGTATCTCTGTCTTCCTGAGAAATCACTTCAAGATACCACCATGTATTACAGCAGCCATTGATATTTTCCTACTAATCTATCCATAATTCTGCAATGTTTGTATTGTTCCCATCCTATTTCGTAAATGGATGCATGTCTATCATTATGTGTTTCCTACAACAACCACTGAGAAAAGTTAATGATTACTCAATAGGTCGCTCATGTATAGCTCTTTTTCTTTAGAAGCCACTTTGAAGATACCAAAGTATAGTACAACAACTATTCATAATCTCCTACCTCTTTTGTCTGTAACTCACTATTATCTGTCTATTTGTTTTCCTGAGAAACTATCTTGTAGATAACAATATGTAAAACAATAACCATTGATAATTTCCTACCACTTTGTCTGTAATTTGGTAAGCCCCCCCATTATTATGTTATCCTTCTTTTACTCTTTAAAATAAAAAACACATAAATAAATACAATAACATTATATGTGTCCTCTTTTCCCAAAAATAAGACCTAGCCAGAAAATAATTAGCCTTGAAAGCTAGAGATCAAAAATGCCAGCTCCAGTCAATCTATTCTTGCCTATACCTTAGCAGGATGAAAAGAATCTACATCTTAAATATATTGACAGTTACATAAATTTTCAAGATTCACCAACAAATACACTTAAAAAGGGTGAATTTCATTGTGTGTAGGTTACACCCCAATTTATAAAATAAATGTGTAAAGAAAACAGACTTGTTCTGTCATACAACAGAGTATAGCAATTAAAAAAATGTGATATAGGGGCTGGGGATTTAGCTCAGCGGCAAAGTGCCTGCCTGGCAAGCACAAGGTCATGAGTTCGGTTCCCAGTACCAGAGAAAAACCAAAACAAAAAACAAAACAAAAAAAATGTGATATACACCCAAGTAATGCAGACCTATGTGTGTAATAAACCCTAACATTATTTTTATCTTGCAGTCATAGAAGCTTGTGGTGGAAATATTCAGAAGCATTATATACAGGATGTTTTACATCCATTATCTTTTCAGGACTTCCCTGTCAAGTAAATTATCAAAGTCACCTAGCGTTCAGTTTGTGATATTAACAGATATCATCATCATACTACTATTTCCATTGTGAAGTAGTACTCTAAAAGACACATGCTAGGTTGCTGGCAGATTAATCTTCAACAAACATTTACAAAGCATCTCATGGTTAAGCAAATATTTGGAACTTTTGGATTTCAAAAAGCTTATTTTAGTCCTCTTTATACACATCACCAATAAATTTTACAGTACAATTGAAAATAGTTCAAACTCTTCAATAGAGTTTGAAGTTGGAGTTGTCTCAAACTCCAGACAATATTTTCTCATGGGAATTTCAATTTGATTCACTCACTGTCAGCAGTCTGCATGCTACCCAGTCATACTCGAAAGATATACAACACTTATAAAGAAAGATGAATCAACTATAAATTTTTAAATCCTTTTTTCTAGTTATCATACTTACCAATAAAGTACCACAGTCACAGGCTTCCTTTCCCTCCTTTATGCCATTGCCACAGATTGGATTACTTCGCATTTGTGGTTTATTCTGAAGGCATCTGACACCAACATTTGAAGCGAAACTTTGAAAGTCTTTCAAACTACAACTGCTAAAAGTCTTCATACCACTGGATTGCCTAAAGATGAAGTCACATAGTGTCAGGCAGTATTCTTCTGAAAATATAATCCATGAATTAATTTCAAAATGATCAATAGGCAATAATAATGTTCACAATAAATATGCATGATCATTCTTGGGAACTCACGTGATTTCATTCATTGGAATACATGTCCTATTCAGATAAAAAGTACAAGGCAATAGCAAAATACCAAGATAAGCTAATTTATAAACAGGCAAGGAACTGATATAGATGCTCTTCAAAATAAAAATTTACACCCTAATTACAATAAACTTTTATTAAACAAGGTATAATATGCTTAGGTATGAACCTCCTCAAAGGCTTCAGAGAAACTGTGTTTACCAAATTTTATATAGTTATGTCCATATTAATATTAGCAAAGATAATTCAAGGACTACACTTCCATAGGATGAATCAGTTTCAGTATGCAGTAAAAATCTGTAAGGTAAAGAGGAAACTGATTTTCACCGTATTACTGACCATGTATTATGAGGTAGCTATTTTATATACTTAACTGTTTAAACATTACTACAAACCAGGGAGGTTGATACTATCTTTTGTAGAAACTGAAGATCAGAGAGGCTAAAAATTTCACAATTCAGGCAGTTTGTAAATGAATAGGTATATATACAGTTTTCTTAAAACTGTAAGGTAATGTTTTTTTTTTTTTTTTTTTTTCTTCTTTGGTTTTGGTTTTTCTCCAGTACCGGGAACCGAACTCACAACCTTGCGCTTGCCAGGCAGGCGCTTTTGCCACTGAGCTAAATCCCCAGCCCCTGTAAGGTAATGTTTTGACATATATATATACACACACACATACATTGGAGAATTATTAAGTCAAACTAACATATTCATCATTTCATATATTTATTTTTGTTGTTTCTAAAATATTTAAAATCTACTGTCATAGCAGTTTTCAAGTATCAGTGCATTATTACCCTTCCTATGTTATACAAATTTACAGTACTCAAAATGTATCAAACTAAATGTCCATCAGTGGATGAATGGACATAGGAAACATGGTATATACACTTGCCCCTCCATACCTGTGGGTTTTACATCCTCAGATTTAACCACCTTGGGTGGAGAAATATTTGATACAAGTTTGTATTGACTTCTTGTAGTTATTCCTTTAAAAGCATACCATAAAAACTATAGAACATATACATTGTTAGGTATCTTAACTAACTAGAAAGAATTTAAAGTGTACAAGAGTATATGCATAGCTTATATGCAAATACAGTTTAAGTATCCCTTATCCAAAATGGTTGTGATGAAATGCATTTCAGATTTTGAATTGTATTTTACATTTTGGAACATGTGTGTACACATTATGAGATATCCTGGGGGAAGGAAACCAAGCTAAAATTCAAACTTTATTTATGTTATTTATTTTTCTCTATTTTCCAGTGGAAGAGACCAGTGTAGAGACAATTTGTAATAGAATACTTGATTCTTCACTGTGACTGTATAATGAACAATATCCATAGTTTCTCATGTTTGGGTGAGAAAACTAATTTTAGAAAAATTAGCAAACAAATGAAACATTCCAAAACCCATGATCTATTCAATGCATTCCATATGCCATCCTCTTCCCTGAGCAAATTTACAGACATTAGTGAAACTGGCCTTAGGAAGGAATTTAGATAAAATGGCATGAATAAAAGAATTTCTTTAAATAACTGGTAATTCCATGTTTTTTAACAATTTTTTGCCATTTCGTAAAAGAATACAGTAAGTGAATAAACTTGATCCTGAGGTTTCCCTAGGTTCCTGCATTTGTATCTGCTGGCATCTTCATGCCCCTTCCTACCTCCTCTTCTGAACTAGTTTCTTTGTGTAGACTCTTTGTACAATATAAGTTTAACATTGAGCTTCTCATTTTTAAAAAGCAGGCACAAATTAACTAATCAAAGTGATATACTGAAAGAGCACTGAAGTATAAGGACACATATTAACCTTCTTTTACTACTTGGTTTAATTCAATTTCAAAAGTAAGTGTGAAATAAAGAAAAGAACAAGATTTTGGAAATAATAAATAAATGTGCTGACTAGAGTACCAAGTCTTGACTTCTGAAGTCATAGACAAAGTGATTAAATCCTTAAGTGTCGGTTTGTAAGGTACAAAATAGGGCTAATAATAACTATCTACCTTACGGATTTACTGTGAGGAATAAATATTATTGAACAAGTGCAGTACCTCAATCAACTCTCTGGCTTATAGTAGGTACCGACTATATCTGTGGTATTATTAATATCAGCTGAGGTCTGGCCACTAATTAACTCTATATCCATTGAACAATCACCTAGAATTTTTATACTCTAAGGGCTTTAAAATATGTTAATGGAAATACTAATATTACCTTGCATGCATTCTTTAAGAATAAAATAATATATGTTGTACTGTGGAAATGCAAAAAAGCTACATGTGTTAGATTTTTAAAATTGAGATTCTTTTCCCTACAGACATCAGAAGAGATTTATGAAAAATTAAGGATTATATATGAAATTGTTTTAACATGATAAAGAATCATGTAAAACCTAAAAGTTTACTAGCACAGATTTTAACCCAGTTCAGCCACAAAGTAGCTATTTGACCTGAGGTAATTATACTTTTTATAACATAGCTTCTTATCTGATATAATGGGACTAATAGTACCTTCTCTACAGAAATTTTGTCTGAATCAAACATATTAACATATATACATGCTTAAAAAGATTTTTAGCACATACCAAATACAATATAAATACTGATTAAACTTATTACCATCAATACTAGAATCTGGATGACAAAAATCTTGTCATAACATACTTAAGCTGGGAAAATGTACAGTGGGCAGTAATTCTCAAGTTTGTGCAGTAATTCTCATATGTTTGTCTCCATTTATCTATATGGATAGTATACACACTTATTTTATATCCATATATGAAAATTATGTTATATGTGTACATATGTATAGAAATATCAGATATATATTATGTTACAGATATTTTAGAAAAGAATTATGTGTGTATATATAAGTGTATGTGTTGGAATTTGTTTTATTTTAGAACTTACAAATTAAGTCTTAGGTGGTACTTAAGAGTAACTGTGAAAAAGAGTATATTTTTAAAAATTAACAACCTAGTCTCACTTGTCACTGTTAACATTTTCCAGGAACAAATAGGTCATCTCTATCATTTTCACAAACAGAAAATCTCTAGAATATTAAGGACACAGGCAGTAGCTGTTGACTGATGTGCTATTTTGAGAACACTGGTAAATTTAGATATTAGTGTAGTTAATTCATCATATAAGATGTAACAATTTTTCATTTTATTTTACTTTATTCTTACATAATCTTCTGAAATAAGAAAACAGGCATTATTATCCTCATTTAAAATTTAAGAAGTAAATCCAAGCAAGGGATTTTTTCAAATTCACACAAATACTGAAAATTGGACATTGTTCACTAAGACTTCTTGTTCTGTGCATGCAATTTTCCTACATCAAAAAAAATCTAAAAATAAAAGGAAAAATTATTTCTAAAAATCAACACTTGCTATGGTATAATATGTTTTTGAAGAACTTTAAAATATTACAGGCTTTTATAACATATGATCCTAAAGAAAATCCTTTGCCAATGTATATTGCAGATTGAATTTGTTATATTTGATTGTCTTTAACAATATACCACAGTCCAGACAACTCTTATATTCTAAATACTTCATCCCTTTGTAGCTACTTTTTGCAAACACCACTATGGAAACAAAATAAACATAACCAGTAAATAAGTCTTTTCAAAACAAACTTACACAGCTTGCAGGTTCATTATGCAGATGGCTTCTGAACACTGGCATTTCATTGGGTCATCATATGACATTCCAAGACTGAGTCCCAGCATCTGGGTGACAATAACTGCAAATGTCTCCAAAGTTAAGTCCTTGGGATACTAAAATCACCACAAAGAAAATTCAAAGGAAAGACAGTTCAATGAATGGTGGTTAAAAAAACAAAGGTTTCTGATTGTGAATATCTTTATTTTGTATCTCATATGTAAGGCTAGGGACCTGTGGTTTCTTGGACAGAGGTGGACCTCTTCTAATGCAGTTCTACTAAGACATAAGCTTATTGATATTGAGACACCAAGCTTTGCCATGATTTAACAACTGAACACCTAGTAAGAGTCTTAGATTCCATAACTATATAAAAAGACTAATTTCATCAGGAAATTTTCATGAGACTTTTGACTATCTGGACCATAATTTTCAATGCACCCAATTTCTTATAACAACTGCAATGTTCAATTAGCGTGGTCTACAGCATCTCCTTCCAGCTCATGGCCACAGTCTTGTTTCCTTCTAGGATCCTCACTGATACACTGATACTAAAAGAAGTCACAGAAGACACAACCTCTAAAGAGCATTCTTAGATTAGGCTGATTATGTACTGAAACAGTACCCAAATAAATTTCTTACCAAGAAGAAATAGGCCACTGAAAATACACAGTGTTCAATGACAGCCTGATCTCTCAAATTATCACCCATAGGGCAAGGGACAGGCTAAGATACAAGCTAAGTTATCAAGAATATCAAAGAATTTAATTGCTAAGGTGTCAGTGGTGATAAAGTTTCTCCAATCAACCTGCAAAAATAGAGTCTTATGTACTTCACACAGTCTACAAGATCATATTTCAAGGTCATCTAACAGTGAATCATATAGAATAGTATGGTATCTCAGGGGGAACTGCATAGATTAGTACAAAGTTTGAAATTGTAGATTAATGGTATTTAACATCATTTAATGTGATTATTTGTCTGGTGTTAACAGCCAAATCAAAGATGGAGGATGACCGTAAATTACCGCACTTAATTTGGCAGTGATGATAATCATATTAGAGATTGCCAATATGGTACCTTAAGTAGAGAAAATCAACATACCCTCTAGCAATTGATTATGTAGCAACTGACCTAGCAACTCCCTTTCTTAATCTATCATCAGCAAAAACAATCAAAACTAATTTGCTTCACCAGACAGTAATTGCAGAATAGTGAGTATATCATTGTTACATGGCTAATAAAACTCTCTTGTTCTTTGTGAAGATATGGCCCAGAGACTTGAATGTCTTTATAGATCACAGCACATTGGTCCCACTGATACGGTAATAAGTTTATTAGACCTGATAAGCATCACAAATGTTTTACTCAAATATATATACACTGGAGAGTTGGAGATACATTCTGTAGCACTTGCCAAAATGATCAAGCTCCTACGGGTGCAGTGGTCGAGGACATATCAAGATACCACTTCTAAAATTAGACACATGTATGCAGTTTAAAAGGCCTCTATAACAAAATGGAAAGTATATGTTTAGTGGCCTTATTTGGACATTAGAGGTCAACATGTGCCATGTTTGGACAAATTGCTTGGAATGATGAACCAATTATTACATAAGCAATTCCTGATTTAAACTTATTTCAGTAGAGTTGAAAATTTTACCAAGAGACATGAAGTAATCTTAACTAGCATGTCTCATCATGAAGTAGATATTATCTGATTCCCAAACCATAAAATTGGATATTCACACCATTCCACTGAATAGGTTTACAAAGAAGTAAACTGCACAAGCAGTACCTGACTCCCGTGATATCATGTTTCTTTTGCCTCCAACAACTCAGGTCTTTTTATGACACTTAATAGACATCAATTATTAAAAGAGAAGGAAAAAGCATGGCTTTGCTCTATGACTGGATCAGCAAGATACACTAATAGCAGCAGGAAGTGAATATTACAGTTTTATTCAAAAGAGCAAGTGGAAGCTGGGCCTTGTGGTACTTTGGTAATCTCATCTACTTGGGAGGCTGCTGGGGGAAAACAGCAAGCTCAGGCCAGCCTAGGAAATACAGTGAGGACTCTGTTTCCATAAAGAAAAAGACCAAGTGGGTAAAAGTTCAGGTCACAGTACCTCTGTTGTTGAGGTTGCTTAGAAAGAGAGATGGCCTAAGGCACTGATTCACAGACCTTCCATAATGGATTGTCTGACTGGCCAGAGGCTTGACAGTGTTTGCTGGTAGCAAGGACTCCTAAGGGAAAGAGATGGAACTGTATTTCTATGGATGGAGAGAGCCAAAATATTCATGTTCTCTCATCAAATGTTCACTGTGGGCGGACTCTCACAAATCTGGTCAGTAAGATCTATTGGGTATGTTTCAATTATGCTTATTCTTCCCCAGACACCTCAGTGCTACTCAGGCCAAGGAATATAAAGGTCCCATGGCTGCAGAGAGGTTCTGCATGGCCTCATACACAAATAAGCACCCCACGTACCATCAACCGAAGTCAATGATGAGCACCACTATGGCACTATGTTGGATCAGCCAGCAGGGCTGGAGGTAAGTTTATTATATTAGACCATTCATTCACGAAAGGGGCAATGATTGGTCCTTACATGTATTTCAGGTATGGATTTTCCATGCCAGTCTGTGCTGTTTCTAACAGCACCACATTCCAGTATTACAGATTGTACCAGGGTCAAACTTTATAGCATTGTTTTTAAACAAATGAGCTCATTTCCCACACGATTATACTTATCACGTCTCGTAACACAGAAGCATCTGGATCAACAGACTGCTGTAGTGTCTGGCTGAAGTCACTTTTGACAGTAGCTAACAGACAGTATCCTCAGAGGTGGGAAAGATGTCATTAATGATTTTAAAATTACACTGATGTAGTGGTGGTGAACCTACGGCACACATGCTATAGTGGCATGCAGAATCCTCTCTTTCAGCAAATTGCCCCAGCAGTTGAGCACTGAATACTCAGGTTTAATTGCCACACTGGCATGCTATGATGAATAAGTGGATCTGGGGTTGCAGTCTGAGCACTTGGCCTCTAAAAGATTTGCCATCACTCTCCTAAGCAGTGGCTAAAGCTTGGCGCTGTTTCCTCCACAGTCATGAGATGTAAGTGTGACAACAGAGGAGGAAGAGGTGATGAGTGTGTCACCCCTCACCACATAACCAAAGAAGCTACAGGAATCTTTATTTTCTGCTTTGGAAACTCTGAGTTCAGTGTATTGGGTACTAGTACCTATGTGAAGAATGATTTCACCCAGAAGCATAATCATGGTCTACGGAATATCGGGTTAAATAACCCTAAGTTATTGCACGCTGATCAGGCCTGCAATCTCCCAAGCAAGTGGTCGGCGAAAGCTTAAATAAATGCAGACAATGGCAATGATTTCAGGGCTCCAAGAGGGACTAACTCTCTCACAGTTTCAGTATTCTCTGAGTTTAGCTCAAGCCTTCTCTGGGCAGCCCATATTTATTTGGTTTACAAACAAAGGAGAAGGATACTCAAGAAAACACGGGAATCTGGGCAGGACTTTTCCAAGTAATACACTATGTTAATTGAGGAGAACTATGTTATCTCCAGGAGGGCCTTCACAGCAGGACGGAGATGCCTACAGGTACAGTCTCCTTCAAGTTAATTGGGGTTGGAGCCAGACATCCTCAGCGGTGGCCTTCAGACAACTCACAAGTAAAGACAGAAAGTCAATTGGTTAATATTAAATCTTGCTCAGAGCCACTTTGCAGTGGTCCCCCAAAACTCTTCCTTTTTGTTTTTGTAAATGTAGCAGTTGAAATATGTTAGCAAGGTCAGAACAGAAGTAAAAGACACAAATATGTTAATTTTCTTTTTCTTTTTTTTTTTTTTTTAAGACTATGTTCTTTTTTTTTTTTCCTCTGGTACCCGAATCGAACTCACAACCTTGCACTTGCCAGGCAGGCGCTGTACTGCTGAGCTAAATCCCCAGCCCCCAAGCACGTTAATATTAACAGTCCATTGTAGAATCCATGACAGGTCTGTTGGCAGCAGACTTCAACAGGGGTTTGAGGATCTCTTCTCTCCATGGCCCCGTTCCAGGATGGCACCCACAATGATGTTTTATAACCTGTTAATATGCAAACATACCTTTGTCCCCATGTTACTAACTGTACTGGAATACCCTATTTATTTATTTATTTATTTATTTCTCTATCTAATACCTTATAGTTATACTTTTCTGCCGGTTATTCAAGACCAAGTTAAAGTGAGACCTGTATTAATTAAAATTAATTTCTTATCTATCAAGGTCAGTTAAATTACCTCAGGATTTACCTTGGAACCATGTACAGTATCTCTCAGTACTTCTGTCAGTGTCAACCATCTGGATGAGTCACAGCCATTGCTTGACCAAGTTGCTTTCTGTGAAAGCTTGGGAGACTTTTCTCTCCTGGTGACTCTCCTTGGCACACTATACACCATACAATCACTTTTCTCTGTGGTCCTATAATCTCCTTGATCAGAAGATCAGGGACTCAGCCGAGTTGCATGATGTTGCAGAAGAGGTTCTCTTATGTCCTGAGTCTTTACTGACCCTGGAGGGCATAGCCAAAACACTGGTTGTTCTTTAGCCCAACTTAACTCTCTAATTTTTGATTTCCAAACCTCAGCTGTTAAACATCCAGCAGAGAAGATCAATGACATTACATTGTAATGGAAGCAGTGAACTTAATTATTAAAATTTTATCTGAGTATTAAGTACCTTGAAATATAAAGTATTGCCAGAGAATTGTTATTTCTTACCAATCATGGGTGTTCTAGTAGTTGAATCCCTGCAGAATGTCAACAGACAACAGTTATATCATTTTACAAAGTAAATTCGAAATCAAAAGCCATACATAGTATTGTAACATAACAGGCATGATGACATTTATGAAACACAATTAAATGTGTAACATTTAAACACATTTTAAATACACTTAATCACACTTAAATATTGGAATAGATTAGCCCTTTTAGTCAATCATCCCTATCAAATACATAAGAAGCTTTTATCTAATTTGTTTCCTTCTAATAGGATGTCCTTGAGGAAACTTGTAACATTTCACTGTTCAACATCTAAGCATC